ATGAATTGCATCAGGTGGTCACAGCTGGCTGCAAGGTAGGCTGGGAATGGAGTCTAGCTGGGCAGCCATGAGCCCACAGAGGAGAGGAGAACAAAACTATGTCCAAGTTCAGTTCTTTCCATTATTTACTGTGTTTGGAGGCAAGTTAAGTAACTGTTCCCACCTTTTTTAGTTCATGCATAAGCCAATTCTCTATTCTTGGGCATTCTTTTATTGCACAAGTATTCCTGAATACCTACTATGTGCTGGCACTAAGTCCTAGAGATGCATCTTTGAACAAAACAGACTAAGCCCCTTCCTCTCTGAGGTAGATTCACTGTGAAGCTAATATGGAGTCTTCCAAGGACCTTTTATTTTCATTCTAAATCAACATTCATATATTCTTTTTTTAATTGTTTTTCTTAGAAATTACTTCAGATTTATATGCATGTTAGTCCCCACAAAACTTGGATCTGCTCCTACTGCTCTCATGAAGCTAACATTCTAGTTGAGAGAAAGAAGGTAAGCAAGTACACGAATAAACATAACAAAGATGGTGATAAGTGCTATGACATGTAGACCCAGAAAAGATTCATTTCATGTGAACCCCAAGAAATAACTTATTTACCTTGTGAGATGGATTCCCCAAAATCAACCAAGGGCCCAAATTTTAAAAATAAGAGTCTAGCAGCCATCTGCTGGCATGGGCTTCTCATTTAAGTAACTCAGAACTCTGAAAAGCAGGAAGTAACTCTGAAAACCAGGAAGAGTCCTCTACTGAACTCTTGCTTCCTGGCACTATGCCCTGCCCTTTTACACTTTTATAAAGGAGTTCCTGGTTTTATCTTTCAATCAATGGACTGAGACCTGCCCCATCCAATCAGAACTGCTCCATCACAACTAATCAGGACCCATAATACCAACCAATCAGAATTTCGTAATTCAGAACAATCAGAACTGTACCAATTTGGATATTTCATTTACATAAGATGGACCTAATGAAGGAACCTGGGCAGGAACTTTGTGTATTAAAAAACAAAACAGGCCCTAACCGGTTTGGCTCAGTGGATAGAGCGTCGGCCTGCAGACTGAAGGGTCCCAGGTTTGATTCCGGTCAAGGGCATGTACCTTGGCTGCGGGCACATACCCAGTAGGGGGTGTGCAGGAGGCAGCCGATCGATGTTTCTCTCTCATTGATGTTTCTAACTCTCTATCCCTCTCCCTCCTTTCTGTAAAAAATCAATAAAATTAAAAAAACACACAAAAACAGCCTGGTTGGTGTGGCTCAGTGGTTGAGCATCTACCTATGAACCAGGAGGTCACAGTTTGATCCCCTGTCAGGGCACATACCCAGGTTGCAGGCTTGATCCCCAGTGGGGGGTATGCAGGGAGTCAATGGTTCTCTCTCATCATTGATGTTTCTATCTCTTCCTTCCTCTGGGAAATCAATAAAAATATATTTAAAAAACAAAAAACAGCCTCTGCTTTGTCTTGGAGAAGCACACTGGGTTTTCCCCCTGAGGCTGTGTTTCCCCATTTTGCAAACTGTTTACCTGAATAAAGTCTCTCCTTTTTCTGCTCCAATGCCTTTTGGTTTTGTTTACAGAGGGAAGGAGTAAAGCAGGTTAAGGGGAGCGAGCACTACTTATTTTTTTTAAAATATATTTTATTGATTTTTCACAGAGCGGAAGGGAGAGGGATAGAGAGTTAGAAACAACAATGAGAGAGAAACATTGATCAGCCGCCTACTGCACACCCCCAACCGGGGACGTGACTGCAACCAAGGTACATGGCCCTGATCGGAATCAAACCCGGGACCCTTCAGTCTGCAGGCCGACGCTCTATCCACTGAGCCAAACCGGCCAGGGCAGAGCACTACTTATTTAGCACAGTTTGAGACCCTGTCATGTGAGCAGAAATGGAACCAAGTGCGCTGTTCCTACTTTTTACTGCTCTAAAAACCACTGTGGTTTATCCTCTTATGCACAAATCTTCGGGTATGCTTCCGATTATTTTTTAGAAGTTATTTCTGGTAGTAGAGTTACTGAGTCAGAGGGAGAAATGTTTTTAAGGTTCTTGAGAACCATGAGCTAAAACCTCTCTTTTGTTTGAGATGAGGGTTATATATGAAGCAATGATAAAGATCTAGATTTTGAGGCATTTTAAATATCATTTTTTTCAAAGGTTAAAGGTGCTCAAGGATTTTAAGGGTTACTTATATCAGGACAGCCTGTCTGGGCTTCTCCCTGCCCTAAGTCCTAGCTGGCCTTTTTCACCTTCCATTGTAGACACCTACATGCAAGTTCTTATCCTAGAATTATTTCTTAAGTCACAGAATTGTAGTGGGAGAAGGAATCTTTGTGTTGATGAGTTCATTGCAGAGATAGTGTTGCCTTGCCCTAAGCCTTATAGTGACGAGCTAAGATAAAGCCTCACTCTCTCACTTCCTGTGTCTGTAATAAAAATCAGTGACAACTGAAATGTGTTTACAGTGTTTTGTGACAATAGAACTTCAGACAGAAGTTTTAAAATAAACATCCATGGAGAAGGCCTGCAGATTTATCTACATCATAGGTGGTATGAGCATTAAATGAGATAATAAACATGAAGTACATAGGACAGGGCTGGAACATTGTAAGTGACATTTTAATGTTAGCAATAGCCCAGCCAGCATCGCTCAGTGGTTGAGCATGAACCTATGAACCAGGAGGTCACAGTTCGATTCCGGGACAGGGCACATGCCCAGGTTTTGGGGCTCGATCCCCAGTGTGGGGCGTGCAGGAGGCAGCTGATCAATGATTCTCTCTCATCATTGATGATTCTATCTCTCTCTCCTCTCCCTACCTCTCTGAAATCAATTAAATAAATAAATAAATAAATTAATTAATTAATTAATGAAAAATGTTAGCAATGGATACTACTTTGGTGGCAAAGCAAGGGGAGTGTTCCAAGACCAGATGTGGGCCCCGTGGGAAAGGGAGCAGGTGTAGGGCAGGGTGGAGTGGTCTTGGGGCCTATAGGCATGGACAGAAGATCTTCACAGAAAGGGCTGGCCATTCTACCTCTGGAATCCTAGGACCAGGGGAAGGAGTCACACGAGACCACCCAGAGGGACAGAGACCTTCAGCCTGGGTCAAGGGAACCACAGGAGACAGGGGCCCAGCTGGACGCCTCTGCAGAGCCCATAACAGGGCCAGCTTTCATCATCTGCCAGGCCACCCCACGGAGGCCAGCTGCCGGCCCAAAAGGGCTTAGGCCACCCAGCCATGTGAGAACTATATTATTCCCTACCTCTCTTTCTGGGCTTCATTCCAGGCATGGAGGAAAACAGCAGCTAGCAAAGGGAGGAGGTGAGCAGAGGGAGAGGAGAGGAAAAGGACCGTGCCCCTTTCCCAGGGCCGGCTTCCAGGATGAGGCAGGTCTGAGCCAAGGGAGGAGAGAAGAGTTAAGGCTAACTCAGTTTCAGAATTTTAACTATTACGTGGGACGTGGGATGCTCAGATCTGAAGGGAGGTTATTTTTTGCAACTCAAAGAATTTTTGTTTTTATTGCCTGAATGTGACAGTAAGTCATTGGCCTCTTCAAGACTACAGTGGGGGAGAGTATTCTGCTGCTATAAAATTAAATTGTAATGGACAGTGGGGCAGGGGAATGCTACAAAACTTGGATCTGCCCTTGCTGCTCTCATGGCAGATAGATTATAGATAGGGAGAGAAAGACAGACAGAGAGAAAAAGTTGCATGTTGTTTACAATCTCTGTTTCATGCTTTCCAGTGTGTCAGTTGCACATGATTTTAATTTGATAATCATTCTGTCTGTGTTATACATGTCCTATGCTATTTCCTAAATCATCACTTTCTGCTAACAGGACACGCTTTCATTCCACAGTTGTACATTCACTCATGAGTTAAAAGTACTTTTTTTTATTTCTTTTTAAACCTCTCTTCCTGATTGCACACATTAGAGTTTTATTTTTCTAGAATCCTCTCAGTTACTCGAGCCTCAGTAATATACATTACATAGGCCGATAAACTGTACATGAGCTCAAAATAGCTATCATTGACTCCTGATATCTCTGATCCATAGAGTCCCACACAATGTTTTCATATCTATTAAGGTCTTTTCCATCACCCTCCACTGGCAGCCTATACTCATTCATCCATCATTTATTGGATTGGGGACCCCTTCATGCCAATGCCCTTGTGGGGTGCTGAACATACAAACCTCAGAGCTGAATGACACACAAGGCACCTACCATCTACTCTCCATAAATCAATGGATATTAAATTATTGTGTTAACAAGTGATAAGGACCAATTTGGCATTACATACAAAGTACAGTGGGAGTAATTAACTCTACCTGGTAATGGGTCAAATCAATTTCACAGAATGAAGACTATAGGACTGGAAGGGTAGGTTGGACTCTCTCAGGCAGCTAAGGGAGGAAGGGGGAGGACAGAGGGAACAGCTTGTACAGAAGCACTGCATGAATCAGGACAGACCAAGTTATGCTGTGGTGACAAAAGGACCCTGAAGCCTTAGTAACTTAATAAAACTAAGGTTTATTTTTTCACTCAAACCACATGTCCAATGCAGGTCAGCTGGTTAGGGATGGGGAGGATCGGGGACAGGGTTCTGCTCTACACAGTCACTTGGGGAAGCAGGCTAGTGGAGACTGTACAGGCTTATAGCTGTACCATCCAGAACCTGTGGCTTCCAAGTTAGCATGGCAGAAAACAAAAAGCTGGAAGGCAACACACTGGCTGTTAAATACTTCAGCACAGAAATGATACATAGAATTAGTTCACAGCGCATTCGCTAGAACTAATCATATGCCTCACTGGGCTGTGAAATGTACAGGAACACATGGCTCTTCCAGGAGTAGTAAATGTCTCTGCTACAAGCTCAAAGGCATGAAATCATTTTGCAGGTTGAGGATGTGAAATAGTTCAAAATGGTTGGAGAAGAGAGTGCAGAGAGGCAGCATCAAAAGTTGAGTTAGGAAAGTAGACGCGGGCGCCATCCCGGAAGCGCGAGCAAGGCCGCCAGATGTGCAGTGCCTGATGAAGACCAAAGACTTTCTTCCTGCCTGTTTCAGGCAGTGGAGGAGGAGGAAGAGATGGATCCCCCGGCCTCGGCCTCGAGGGTCTTCTGCAGCCGCATCCTGAGCATGGTGAATGTGGATGATGTCAACGCCATCATCCTGGCCCAGAAGAACATGCTGGACCGCTTTGAGAAAACCAACGAGATGCTGGTGAACTTCAACAACCTGTCAAACGCCCGCCTGCAGCAGATGAGCGAGCGCTTCCTGCACCACACGAGGACCCTGACGGAGATGAAGCGGGACCTGGACAGCATCTTCCGCAGGATCAGGACGCTGAAAGGGAAGCTGGCCAGGCAGTACCCAGAGGCCTTCAGCCACGTCCCAGAGGCATCCCTCCTGGAGGACGACGACGAAGACCCCATCCCGCCCAGCACCACGACCACCATTGCCACCTCGGAACAGAGCACAGGTTCCTGTGACACAAGCCCAGATACCATCTCACCCTCCCTCAGCCCTGGATTCGAGGACCTGTCCCAAATCCAGCCCAACTCCCCTGCCATCAGTGACCACAGCCAGATGGATGACAAGCAGATGCCGGGCCAGTAGCTCTGTTCCCAGGCACTCCAAGGGGTCTCTCCAGGTATCTGAGGTGGCAGCAGATAACCCTGCCTGGAAATGGTCAGCTTTGCCACCCTATTCTGTCACCCAGGGCACCCTGGGGGATAAAGCTCCCTCCCAGTATGGGGGAATCTATCATTCTCACTCCTCCTTCACTGAGGCTATTTTTCTCCTGCAGACCCTCTGCCAGGCCAGGGGTTGAGCAGCCAGCTGGAGTTGTTGGGCTGGGCACAAGGAATCTTTTCCAGAGCCAGGCCTGAGGTCTGCTCTGAACAACACTTAAAGGTTCCCAAAGACAAAAGCCAGATGTCCCCTGTCTCAGCACCCCAGTCAGGACCTCCTTGAGGTGGACAAATACTATCATGTCTCAGTTCACTCCCACACCTACTAATTCTGGTCTCCCTGTCCCTTCCTCCAAGGAAAGTATTAAATACTTTCTCCAATCAGTATCTCAAGGAGGTTTCTGAAACAGTTGTAGAAAGCTCAAGACCATCCACTCAGCCCCAAGTGTGATAAAAGCCCACATTTGTCTGACCAAAGGTGTGAGCCCTGAGGGCCCTGCAGATCTCTCCCAGGGCCTCCGTGAAGCCAAGCCACCTTGGAAAACAGAATTTAACAGAATATTTTTGTATCCGATGTTTACAGATGCTGTTGGGAAGTTATCAATAAAAAGACTAAAAAGAAAAAAAAAAAAGTTGAGTTAGGAAAGTAAAAAGATGATGAAATTTTGTGTGCCATGCATAGGAGTTTGGGCCACCATATATGCAGAGCACAGCTTTTGAAGAGTTTTAAACATGTGATGGGCATATTTGTGTTTTAAATACATCTGTCATGAAGTGTTGGGGAGCACACGAGACTTGGTTGGAAAGTTTGTAAGGAGGACATTCCAAGAAAAGGGAAGTGTGTTGAAGGCGCCCTGCCCTGTTCATCGGGATTCCGACTTAGGGGAGCGTAGAAGGCGGCACCCCTAATTATTCCTTGACCTTTTCAAACAAGTCTGTGCTTGAGCAGACCCCCAGGTGTTTACTGGAATCCTTATGCTTAATCTTTGGGTGTCCTTGGCTAAAGGACACTGCAAACATGTGTGCCAAGATTACTTATCCTACTGATTGAATCTAAAAGATAAACTTTATCTCAAACTGCTGCTACAATAATAGCGTAACAAGGCAGGCGATCAAGGCTGTCTGGTTCCTTTAGCCAGGCAGTCCCTTAGCCCTCTCTTTCACAGCAAACTGTGTCAGAGTAATCATTCATCCATCGCTCAGGATCTGCTAGTCAGCCCCGGCAATGAAGCAACATGGAGGATAAATTGGAAGAGATTCAGACAGGAGATGGAAAGACCAGTTTAATTCCCACAATTGTCCAGGTTAAAGATGATGAGGGAACTAAAATCAGGTCACTGGGGATGCATATGAGAAATGTTGAAGAGCTAGTCAATAGAACCTCATGGCTATTTAGAAATGGAAGAGGGAAGAGAATAGGATGACTTTCTATTCTGCTTTAGATGGGACTTGGTGCCACCAGTTAAGATAAAGAGCACAGGAGGATGAGTGGCTTTGGGGAAAAGACAATGAGGACAATTTGGGACCTGAGTTTGAGTTACTTATTATGCTTGTTATGGATTGAATTGTGGCCCCAAGATTTATTCAAGTCATAAGCCCCATTAGCTCAGAATGTGACCTTATTTGGAAATAGGGTAGTTGCAGTTATTAGCTAAGATGAGGTCATCCAGAATAGAGAGGACCCTTAATCCAATATGACTGGTGACCTTATAAGAAGATGTCTATGTCCAGCTGGTGTGGCTCAGTGATTGAGTGTTGACCCATGAACCAAGCGGTTGCTGGTTCAATCCCTGGTCAGGGCACATGCCTGGGTTGTGGGCTCAATCCCCAGTGGGGGGGGGGGGGGTGCAGGAAGCAGCCAGTAGATGATGCTTCATCGATGTCTCTATCTCTCTCTCTCTAAAAATCAATTAAAAATATATCTTTTTAAAAAGGTGGCTATATATTGCTTCTCGGCCTTTTGGCTAAGATCAAGCGTAGTATCTGTTCTTATCAGTTTAAAAAGATGGCTATATGACAATGGAGACAGAGGTTGGAGTCATGCATCTAGAAGCCAAGTAATACCAGGATTGCCAGAAAACACTAGAAGCTGGAAGAGGCAAGGAAGGGTTCTCTACATGTTTTAGAGGGAGTATGGCCCTGCCAACACCTTGATTTCAGACTTTCTTCAGAATTCTGAGAGAATATATTTTTGTTGTTTTAAGCCAATTTATGGTACTTTGTTATGGCGGCCATAAGAAGTGGGCATAGGCATGAACGTGGAGCTGTCCAGGTCCAAGGTCAGCCGGATAAGGTCAGACTGGTCTTCTTTCAAAAGCCCAAACGGGGATTACTAAGGAACACAGAGCATGCTGGGGGCACCTGCTGGCAGAGATTTATTCATCCCAGGGTGGAGAGGAGAAAGGGTAATTAGACAAGGAAACTTCACAATGAGGATGACATTTGGAGAGGGCTTTAGGGAATAAGTAGAAATCTTTTTCTCTCTTAGGTGATGATAAACTTCTGGCAGCCAAGTCTACATATCTATTCAAGTATTTGACAAATATTTATTGAGCACTTTTGTGTTGGGCTCTATGCTAGGCACGGAGTATATAATGGCAAGCAAAACAGGCACGTCCCCATTCTCATGCAATGTGTAATTTACTGGGGAGGATGACATTGATCAAGTAATCAGTCAGAGAAATATGTAAGCACTCACTCTGATTAATGATATGAAAAGAAATTACCAAGTTAAGAGAACATGTTGCAAGGAAATCGGTCAAGCCTGGAGGCTGTGAAAGGCTTGTTAAAGAAGCTGTCTGAGCTGAGATCTGGGGTAAAGATGTTAATTTTAAGTGATGAAGGAAAGAATGGAGACAGTCCAGGCAAAGGGTCTGAAGGAAGGAGACGAGGGCATGTGCACATTGGAGGATCTGAAAGACAGCCAGTGCCACTGCAGTACAGAAAGGGAGGAGGAGCGAGGCTGGGAGCAGGCAGCAGCCGCGGCTTGCAGGACCTCGAAGGGTTTAGTGTTCATCCCATGAGCAATGAAGGAAAGGGAAAGCCAGTCAATGACTCGCACCAGGAGTGGGGAGAAAAAAGATCACATTTGCTTTCTGTGTTTTTTTTTTAATTTTTACTTATTTATTTTTTATTTCTTAAAACATGTTTTTATTGATTCTAGAGAGGAAGAGAGAGAGAAACATCAAAGGTGAAAGAGAATCATTGATCGGCTGCCTCCTGCACACCCCACACTGTGAACCAAGCCTGCAACCTGGGCATGTGCCCTGACTGGGAATAGAACCATAACCTCCTGGTTCATAGGTCGGTGCTCAACCACTAAACCACGCCAGCTGGGCTCTGTGGGGTTTTGTTGGTGTTTTCTTTTCTTTCTTTCTTTCTTTTTTTTAGATCACCTTGATGAGAATGATTAAAGAAAGCCAAGAATGGAAACAAATTGAACCATTAAGAAACTATCGCACTGGTCCAGTCCACAGTGGCTTGAACAAGGTGGTAGCAAGGAGATGACAAATTCTGGAAGTATTTCTCTAGGCACTCAGTGAAGGGGAAAATTATTGAATGAATGAAATCGACCGTCCATATCTGCAGCTATTCTATGCTCTTCTCTGTCTTCAGGTTTTTAAATGCTGTCTCTCTGAAAAGTGGCATTAATGCCTCCGTACAAAACGTCTTGACATCTGATAGTGAAGCGTGTGTATAAAGAAGAGGAAGTCAAATGTTGTTCTGGGGAGATGGTGAGACTCTCTCCAGACGTGGGAGGAAGGCTCATTGAGAGAGAACAAGAGGTTGGATCCTTGATGACGTTCAAGGCCAAGGAAGGCCTAAGGCAAGAACTATCTAAAGAAAGGAGTCCCAACAGCACCAGCCAGCCAAGAACCTCCTTTCGTCTGATATTTTCTAAGGAGCATCACACACAGGCACTGCGTTCAGAAGGGACATAACGTACAGATGAGCTCTCCCAAGCCACTCTGCAAAACCGTGTCACCACCTGGAGAGTGTGGATGCTTCTATAGTTTGATTTTCCTCCTCTGTTGCACTTAGACTGTGGACACATGAGTAAGGATGGAGCCCGAAGCCCAGACTGTGGCCTTGCATTCCATGAGAAGGTGTGCTTCTTCCCCGGGGCCTGACACACACCTGAAGTTCTCTGGAGCAGCTCAGATCCCAGCTCCCAAAGGAGGCAGAGCTGTGGTTCTGGGTGCTGAGAGACTTGGCCCACTTTTGCAACTTGGGATGTGTTGAGTTCAAATTGTTGGCTTAGTTGGGTCCCTAATTAGATGTAAGATGCTCAGCTAAGAGACTCTGAAGACCACTTACCTCCTGACTATGGTTCAAAAATGCTGGAATGCACTCTGCAGACTTAATTTAAAATCAATATGTTTCCTTCCTAATTAACCATGCAACAGAACCTACTTATGAAGTGACAGGCAGATGACTCACTATTTGTTTAATAATGACATCATGTTCGCATATATGCCCAAATTCCAATGATCCTGGGCTCCCTTGCCAAAGGGCAGTGCTCAAGCCCCCTTTTAAACTCTTCCTGTCATTTCTGAGCAAACCCGGAGGTGTCCATGTCCTGGCCACAGGAACCACACAGCATTCTCCACTGGCTTTTTCTGCAATAAGTCATCATGGTTAGACTCCACCAAATATACCCTTAAAGAAACCCCCTGTCACCACTGCTGACGGTGCTGATACTGTCCCCCAACTTTGTGCCACAGTTTGTCACGTAGGTGCAAAGGCAGGATTGCCTGGGTCCAGGCTCACAGAGTCTTTTATACAAACGTTTCTTTGAAATATGGTTCTCACCCCTGTCCTTGGAGAAAACTCAAGGCAGGTGGAGGACAAGGGCCATGACATCCCTTTCTTCTGTCCCCTCTGTTGATGCAGGGTCCCCTGCACACCCCACTTCCATCTCTCCCTTTTCAGCTGCACAAACCCCAGGCATGTCCACAGAAACCCAAATATCCTTTCCTCTTCCACTAATTGCATTAAAGCCTCACAG